AAACGTGTAATCGTTAATTGACCAAATTCAGTAATAATAACTTTTAGTTTGGAAAGGAAAAAAATTACAAGTGTCGCTGAGGTGTTTGGAAGATATTTTTATGTAAAAATGTATTTTTGAATAGTAAATTGGTGTGAAACGTGTGGTTGAAAAATAAGGAAATTTTTTTGATTTACGTGTAATATTATTTTAATAAAGAATGTGTGGTTGAAAAGAAAAGAGAGAAAAATGCATTTTGAAAAAAATGGATACCAAAACGGGGCCTGAATATAAATCATCACTTAAATGACATTTTATTTTAAACATAGTATTATCATATTAACCAAACTACAATGTTAGTTCATGTAGGGACGTTAATTAGTTGTTCAAGACATTTTTTTTTTTTGGTACTAACGAGGTTCATGACTTAAAGTGAAGGGATTAGAGAAGTCAACTTTAAAGTTCGGGGGCATTTTTTGCATATAATGGTAAGTCTGAGGACCAATAATGTTTTTTACCTATTATTTATTCCTACATATTAAATAATGGGTTACTTAACCAGTTGTAGTATGTGCTAGTACTTTTTAAACAAATCTACTATAAATTATTCAAGAGGAAAGCGAACGTTTAACGTATACTAATTTGGAAAATGTCAAAGTGATCGAAAATGTTTAACAAAAAGGATGATCGTCTCTCACATGTCGTCGGTCCAGCTTGAATAAAAAATTACTCCTCCCCCTATTTGTGGGGTTTCTGTCAAGGAGGCTATCAGCCTCCCTGTTAGTTTAGCATGATCCTACTAATTTAAACTATCAACGCACATCAAACTCATCTCTCGTGCTTTTAGGCTACAAGCTTGGAATCAACATATGATGTGTCGTGCTCAGGTCCTTTGACCATGGTTAGTGCCGACCCTGACTATAGGCAGGGTAAGTCGTCGTCTAAGGCCCCACTTTGGTAAAGATTCCAAAAAATTATTATTTTTTATTTTACATGTATTTTTAGTTATATACAGGATCCCATATTTGAAATTGATCTAAAGCCCTCAAAATCTCAAGACTGCCCTTGACCACCGTTAGCATCTCATCATGTATGTCATGAATCAATATTGCAATCTTCCATTTTGTTAGAGGAAAATACAAACCCTCACAACTTCTACCAAAATGGGGGGAAAATATACAAACTTACGGTCCTGATTTCCAGTCCCAAGTGGTTAGAATAAAAACTTTCCATGTTGACGTGAACAAAAAATTTTAGTTATGATTCTCCGCTAAGAAATTTTCTTAACCACTGGAAATTTCCAGGAGATTATTCTATACAAACTTGTAGAAAAGTGATTAAGAGACCGATTGGGTGAGTCGTAATAAATGTAAAAAGTTGAAAATCACAATCTCTCTCCGTCTCTCTTTTCTTTTTATTGAAAAGAAAAGGGAAGGACTGGTCTACGTTTTCACGACTCGTTTTCCACTTTATCACGTGAGAAACTCACGATACTTACTGTTTTAAATTTATTTATTTATTTTTTTTCTTTTAAATGGTCATGATAATTATAGGTTGATAGATAGGGTTAAAAAAGTCGTGTGTGTGTGCTCGTAAAACGCGTAAAAGTCAAGTGAAAGCGTGCGTTACCAAAAGGGAAACAGCATGATGATGATTTTTTCTCAAGACTTTGCAAAAAGTAGAAGTAAGAAAATTTTAAAGCTTTAACGAGTAGAAAATCATGGCGGACCCACTCACCTTTTCAAATACCAAGTTATTTAAATGATAATTAATCTCTCTATATTTATTTAAAAATAAATGATTGAGCGTATACTTTTGAATACCAATTTTACTTTTATATATTTCACTATATATACTAATCGAAAATGATATCCTAAGTACCGATACTTAATTTATGTTAAGCACCGATAACATGGTACATTATTTAATTGGTAGGAGATCATCGACGCTTAACTTATGTTAAGAACTGGTGATATGACACATCATTTAATTGTGTCATGTCACAGATGCGTCCCAATTAAATGATATGTCATGTCATCGATACTTAACATAACCTAAGTATCGGTACTTAGGAGATCATTCCTGATATACTAATATATTCTCATTTATTTAATTTACAATTTTATCCTTAATTTTATTTTTATTTTTTGTCATTCATATTCTTATTTAATCTTTCTAATTTTTATGCATTAGCCTAGTTTTGCAACTTATAATATTATATTCTCATCTTTCAGTCAATTGATCCTCAAAGGAAATATAAAATAGTTTTACGGAGTCCCAAAAAGAAACACATAAACTAACGCAGAACATAAAAAATAGAGCGTTGCCAATGGGAATCGCAGTTCTTCTAATAATATTTTAGTAAAGATTTGAAGAGTTTGATTAGCTCTTTATGATTAATGCAATAAATATTAATTAATTATAATTGAATATGGAGAGCATTCCCCCTATCAACATTTTTGAAATATAGTTTTGACAAATAATCACATTCTTCTCTCGCTTCACTTTTGCCAATTTCATTTGAATCTAAGACCTTTTTCGCTACTGTAAGAAGAAATCATGTCTCGCACAAATGATTTGAATTCTTTATTATTGGAGTTGTGCCCATTGGTTTCTTTCCTTATAGCATGAAGAGATATCAATATTTTTCGATTATCAAATGTGCTATTTTTTATTTTGATTAAGCTAGTCTCGCTTTTTTTTTTAAAAAAAAATCTTTTAATTGTGAAATATTTTTGGTATCAGTATTGCCTATATGCTTCATGTTGCTTTTCTGGATCGTAGCGAGAGAGGCCTTTTTATTTTCTGAGAATGAGAATCGAACTTCATTTACATGATACGCTATAGTGACTATGGCCAACTTTTTTTTTTTTTTTTTGGTCATACAATAAATTTTTGCAGACATTTAATCCACAACGGAATTAATATATCAACCCATGTCTTTTTAAATGGAATATGAGAAGAATTGCAATTTCCCTTTTTTTTAAATGGGGAAAGACTGCTTCTTATATGTAATTTGTGAGTTAAAAATTTAATTAAGGTATATTTAGATGCGGTGATTTTATTTACTTATGAGATTTACAATAATTGATGTAGACCATTAGATTATTTTAAATTTAAGGGTTTAGATTGTTTGTCAAAATTATATGTCAAAACTCTTGTTATGGAGAACGCTCCCCTGATTTATTATGGTACTTGTAATTAGTATGAGAAATAGAATTTAATTTAATTTAATTTTTTGTCAAGTATGTCCTTATTTCAATCTTCCTAATTTCTCAATCATTAAGTTAATTTTGTAACTTTTAATATTAAACATTGTTCTCATCTTTCAAATAATTGATCTTATATCCTTTTTTTTTCTTGTGTGTAGAAATAATAAAAATAAGTGACAATATTTTTAGTTCATTATTGAATATGTAATAATGTTATCTATTCAAGAAACGTACAAGTTGAAATACAAGTTTTTCCTCCATTGATCCAATTAACTCCAACCAATGACGAAGGATATCCATTTAAATTCAAATTCAAAAGGAAATAATTTTTACTATGTCACTTTGCAATTACCATTAGCATGGTTTAAGGAGAAAACAATGCTTATTGTTGGAATATACCTTCGTGAACACGTGCTCTCATGAGCAAATATATGTCACATTTTCTTTCTTATTTCAATGAAAAAAACAAAATTTGTGGTAAAAGCAGAAAAAATAAAGTTGCGGGATGTTGATAAAAAAAATATTGTGTAAAAAGAAGTGCTATTCTAATCAAAATATTACATTTCAAATTATTCAATATTATCATATTATATACATAATTTCATAAATACTTTTATTCATATGTGTACATTTTAACAATTTTAATTTTTTTCTTCAACAATATCAATTATCTCAACTACTTTAAAAAACAATACTAGTACTTCAAAAAACATGGTGCATATCATTGATTCGATACATAAGATGAGCAACACACGTTCCTCGTGGTTACTACTAATATTTCTATGAGTTTAAAATTATTATTTGTCCTCTTCATGTATTGCCCATGTTGGAAGGAACCCTCCAAGTATGATAAACCCTTTCCAATGTTATTTTCAAGTTTTAATTCAATTTTGAAATAAAATATTTGTTATTGTAGATTAATAAATTTATAACCAAGTCCTACAAATAAAATTGTTACCATGTCATTATCAAATGCACACAATTCCATTACAATTTGGAAATAGAGGACAAAAGAGAGTGGCCAACATAAGAAAGAAGGCCTTATTTCAAGATCAAAGACTTCTCGTATGAAGAGTTGAAATTAAAGAATGAATCGTTTTCAAACATGAACGTAAAGGGAATTAATGGACCGTCTAACAATTCAACACGGGAATATTTCAATTGTTTTGGTTTCCAAACAATCTTAGACAAACATAGAATTCGCTACAATAATAACATAGTATATGTCGATATTACTTATGTTAACATAATCGAATTCAATTTACTTGAACCCTAAAATAAAATAAATATATCCTTGTTTGATAGAGATTAAAATAAGATTTTTGATAGATTTTGATAAAAATTGATGAAATGTGTGCTTGAAAAGTCTGTATTTCATGAAATATATGATTAAAAATAATTATTGACATTAACTTAAGTTAAAATTTTAATTTTAATTCCTACCAAATAGAGATATTGCCCCCGTTTGGTCCCCATTTATTGAAAATGAAAGTGGAATATTGTTTTTAAAAAAAATAAGTGATTGAAAAAGAATGAAATATTTTCGATTTACGTGTAGTATTATTTTATAGAAGATTATCTGGTTGAAATTATGAAAGAGAAAAATATAATGTAATGGAATGAAAATTAATGGTGACCAAACTGGAGTTATATACTCGAATAAATATATCAATTATATAATATGAACAAAACTTATAAGGGTTTTAACTTTAAGTTAGTACACAACTTAAAACCCAAAAAAAAAAAAAAAAAAAAAAAAAAAAAAAAAAAAGGAAGTTATCATGTCATTATTTTATTTTTTATTTTATTATTGGGTTGCACATATCATCTCGTTTAGAGAGAAGAAGGAATAGAAAGTCTTTTTAGTGAGAGAAAGTGAGAATGGAAGGGAGGTTTTTTGTGTGAAGGGGGCGGTGTGATGATTTTTACATTTTAGAGTTGAAAGGCATAGCTTTTATGGTCACGCATAGATATAGAAGAAGAAGAAGAAAAAACAGAGAGAAAATTATATAGAAATCAAAGTTTCTTTAGATAGGGTTGTTCAACAAAATAAATTCCATCGATCCTGTTTCTATACATATAAAATACAATCGGATTTCAATTTTTCCTGTACAGAGTGAAATTTTCTGAATTGGGTTCTGTTTATTTTGGCTGAAAAATAGTTGATTTTTCGTCAAGTTCAGATTTTTCAGCATTTCTTGGATTTTCTCTGATAGTTCTTAAGTTTCGTATCTCTTAAGATAAAGGGAATTCTTGGAAATTTATTGTTGGATTTGTTTGGCTTTTAAATCGACTCTTAAGTTTCCTATTTCTTAAGATAAAGGGAATTCTTGGAAATTTATTGTTGGATTTGTTTGGCTTTTAAATCGACTCTTAAGTTTCCTATTTCTTAAGATAAAGGGAATTCTTGGAAATTTATTGTTGGATTTGTTTGGCTTTTAAATCGACTCTTAAGTTTCCTATTTCTTAAGATAAAGGGAATTCTTGGAAATTTATTGTTGGATTTGTTTGGCTTTTAAATCGACGATTGCAGTAGAGGAGAAGAAGATGAGAGCTGGTTTGAGTACTATTCAACAAACCCTGACAACAGAGGCGGCGAACGTTTTGAACCATTCCATAGCGGAGGCGGGCCGGCGGAACCACGGCCAGACAACGCCGCTGCACGTGGCGGCGACGCTCTTGTCTTCGCCATCGGGTTTCTTAAGACAAGCGTGCATTCGCTCCCATCCAACTTCTAGTCACCCACTTCAGTGCCGAGCACTGGAGCTATGCTTCAGCGTGGCGCTGGAGCGCCTCCCTACGGCGCAAAACATGGCTCCGGGGATGGAACCCCCGATATCTAATGCGCTAATGGCCGCTCTCAAGCGCGCCCAGGCGCATCAGAGGCGAGGTTGCCCTGAACAGCAACAGCAACCACTACTGGCGGTAAAGGTGGAGCTAGAGCAGCTTATTATCTCGATACTAGATGATCCCAGCGTGAGCCGGGTGATGCGCGAGGCGAGCTTCTCGAGCCCAGCGGTCAAGGCCACTGTTGAACAGTCTTTGAATTCCAACGCGCATGCAAATCGTCATGTTGGTTCTAGAAATGTGAATTTGGGAGGACCTTTTGGTGGGATATCACCTATGATGCTTTCTAGTGCAACTCAATTATCTACACCACCAACAGCAGCACCGTCATCTCTTAATCCATTGGCTAATCGGAACATTTATTTGAATCCCCGACTGCAGCAGGGGAGCACAGGGCAGATGGGGAATCAGAGGATTGAAGAAGTGAAAAAGGTATTGGATATTTTGGAAAGAAGTCAGAAAAGGAACCCAGTTTTGGTGGGGGACTCGGAGCCTGAGACTGTGGCGAAGGAATTGTTCAGAAAAATTGAGAACGAGGAATTGGGAGCTGAAGGGAAGTTGAAGAATGTTCAAGTGATCTCCATTGAGAAAGAGTTTTTATCCGATAAAAACCAGATACCTTCAAAGATCAGAGAATTGGATAGGGTGATTGAGAGAAGGATCATGAGTGGTGGAGTAATTCTTGATTTGGGTGATCTGAAATGGCTGGTGGAGCAGCCTATGAGTTTTAGTGGCGCACAGCCGCAGCAGCAGGTGGTTTCCGAGATTGGGAAGGCGGTGGTGGTGGAAATGGGGAAGTTACTGTCCCGATTCGCTGGAGATGATACTAGTGATAATAAATTATGGTTGATTGGAACTGCAACGTGTGAGACTTATTTGAGGTGTCGAGTTTATCATTCTAATATGGAAAATGACTGGGATCTGCAAGCAGTGTCAATCACTTCAAGATCGCCTCTTTTGGGGATGTTTCCCAGGTATATTCGGATCAAGATTGATAATTCTTCAGAACTATTTAATTAACTTTTTTATGTAATTGTTCATGCTACATGTATTGAATTTGAATTGACAGTTTGTTAAAATTGCATCTTTTGTATACTCGTCTGTATCATGTTCTGGAACAGAACCCATGATATAGTCTCTTCCAGGAATTATTCTTTGCACAGTAGATCGAAAAATGGTTTTTTTTTTATTCTTGATCTGGTAGTTGAAGTACATGTATATGAAAGGAATCTAGACATTCTCCATATTTATCATTTTTGTTACTCTGGTTTCTTGGTTGAGAATGGTTACGATCGGGTTGTTATAAGTAATTTCAACTTTGTGTTTCTAGGGTTGGAACAGAGAGTCTTATGAGCAATCCAGTGGAAAATTTGAATCCATTGAAGAATGTTCCGACTCTGCCTTCCACTTTAACAAGGCGAGTATCTGAGAGCCTGGATCTTGATCAAAGAACATCCATTTGTTCACAATGTTCTGACAATTACGAGAAGGAGCTGGTGAAACTTGTAGCCATTGAGAAGACGTTTTCGGAAGCTAAACAAGAACCTAATCGACCATCTCTGCCTGCGTGGTTGAAAAATGCGAAAATCCAGAGCAGTGATGCCAAAACAACAGATCAGTCAGAAGTATGTTTTAAAAACCTTTGTTAAAATTAATTTAGAATTGAGAAATGAATTAAATTAAGCTGATCTTGATTTTCATTTATTTGCATCAGGAAGTGCTTTCGAAGCAAAAGACTCAAGAATTACAGAAGAAATGGAGGGAAACATGCTTGCATCTTCATCCTAATTATCATCAAAAGATCCACTCTGATAGAAATGCTCCACCGACTCTTTCCCTAACGAACCTTTGTAATTCGAACCTACTTGTGCGTCCACCTTTCCAGCCTAAGTTGCAAACCACCAAACCACTTGGGGAAGTTCTACGGTTGAACACAAATCACTTAACCAGCCAACCTGCGGTGCTCACAAGCAGCTCATCTGGAAGTCCGGTGAGGACAGATTTGGTTCTTGGACCGAAAGGCACAGAAAACACCCTGGAGAAAACTATCGAAGATGGTGTTAAAGATTTCTTGCGCTGCATCTCCTCCGAACCTCGGACTAAGGTCCCCGATAAATTTGCTAATGCATTGGATGCTGATACGTACAAAAAGCTCCTCAGGGGTCTCATGGAGAAGGCATGGTGGCAGGCGGAAGCAGCCAATGCAGTGGTTTCAGCCATATCTCGGTGCAGATTAGGCAACGGGAGATTACGAGGTGCTGGATCTAGGGGCGACACATGGTTACTGTTTACAGGTCCCGACAGAGTTGGGAAGAAGAAAATGGCATCAGTTCTATCAGAGCAAATTTGCGGGACTATTCCCGTGATCATTTGTCTTGGCTCACGTCGTGATGATGAAAAGTTGGATAAGAACTTCCGTGGTAAAACAGCAATTGATCGCATTGCAGAGGCAGTTCGAAGCAATCCTTTTTCGGTGATTATGCTTGAAGACATTGATGAATCGGATATGATCTTGCGTGGGAACGTAAAGCGGGCTATTGAGAGAGGTAGGCTCACTGATTCCCATGGACGAGAAACCAGTCTTGGTAATGCCATATTCATCCTCACGGGAGATTGGTCCACAACTCCTGAAGTGATCAGAGAAGGTCACTTTGTTGATGGGAAGAAACTTGCCTCCATAGCAAGCAGAGATTGGCAGTTAGGATTGATAGTTAGAGAAAATAGTGCAAAACGTCGAGCCAGTTGGTCACAGGATGAAGATCGGCCTGTAAAACCTCGAAGAGAAATAGGGTCGGGCCTCTCTCTCGACCTTAATCTTGCTGTAGATACCGAGGACGATAGAACTGATGGATCTCACAATTCGAGTGATCTCACCATTGATCATGAAGATGAGCTCGGGCTTGTAAATCGACAACAATTCACTGTTACATCGGTGCCTCACGAGCTGGCAAGTAACGTCGATGATTCCATAGTGTTCAAACCCGTGGATTCCTCCTTTGTTCGAAGAGAAATCAAGAAAACAATCTCGGTGAAATTCTCCATGGTTGTGGGTGACAACTTGCCAATCGAAATAGAAGACGATGTCTTAGAAAAGATCCTTGGAGGACTATGGCACGACCAGACTAGTCTCGAGCAATGGATAGAAAACGTCTTAGCACCGAGCTTCGATCAACTCAAACCACGCCTGCCCTCTATCGAGAGTCGTAGTTTGGTCGTCCGCCTTGTGGTGGAGTCGGATTCCGGTGATCATCGGAGAAATGGAGATTGGTTGCCTAGTAGAATCACCGTAGAAGGATATAATTGAAGTGTACAAGCTTAAGTGGAAATACAATGGATATTGTTCTTTGAATACAGGTGTAATGCAGCAACCATTCGCCAGAAAATAGTGAATACCCGTTGAAACGAGATGATATGACTGGTTAACGGATATTGGAAAACTGTCACCTTCACCATTTTTCTTTTATTTAAAATTATTTATTAATTTCTTTTCTTTTCTTTTTTTGTTAGATACTTATATTAATTGTAACAGAGGACGTGAATAATAAAGATGAGGCATTCCTCTTTATGGTACCAAAAACTTCAATTATTTTCTAATTTACTTTTCGGTTCTGGGGGCATTATGGTCTTTTAATGTCATAGGGGTTAGTAGTAAACGACAGTCAACGTTGTTAGATGGTTGTAGTGATGGACGGCCAGAATTGAACTTTTTGGGTTTTTAATTGTGGGGCCCATTTTTTTAATATTTTCGTTAGGTGTAGAGGATCTACAGAAGACACGCTTTTGCATGTGCAACGTGTCGCCGCCCAGAAAAGACGTGTTATCAAATAACTTCGTGGGACCCAATTCCTTTATCCCCTACCTCTTCAATCATCGAATTCTTCTTTGTTTCAAATTATCTAGAATCTTACGAGTTATAACTATAAAAAGGAAAAATTCTAATTGTGCATAATTATTGCATATAAAGATGTTCATAATGTGACGTGATAATTATCTGATTGTTGATATGCAAGTGTGATATTTGAATCAAAAATTGGATCTAGTACCACGTGTAATTAATGACACTATTATGTAAACAATTATGTACATATAGCGCTTCTCATATAAAAATTATTCTCTTCGTCTCAATTATATAGTTTTTTTTTTATTTTTCACACAAATTAAGAAATCTTTTTTAATATTATTGAAAAATTAATTTTTGTCAAAATCTTTTCTAATTTATCCTATTTACTTTTTAGTATGTAGTAGTAAATTATTGTTAAAATTAGTAAAGAATTTAAATTATTTAATTTGAAGAAGAAGAAGAAATGAGAGTTGTTTAATGTTTTCAAGTAGTGAGAAATATGTGTATTTGGATAATTTCAAGAAGTGGAGAAAATTAAATAAGTGTATATTGGTAAGTGAACAAAATAAAATATTCTAAAATAGAAAATAGTCATATATATTTGGGATAAAAGAAAAAGGAAACTCGGCTCATATAATTGGGACGGGGGAGTACTCTAAACGAATTTACGATATTCAAACAACGGATTAAGAGTTAAATTTCAAGTTTCAATGATAATGTCTTATTTAAATAAAAAATATTAATTAATTCCCTGTTTGATGAAGATTGAAATTAGATTTTTAATAGATTTGGATAGAAAATTTTGAAATGTGTGATTAAAAAATTGTGGGATCCATGAAAGATGTGATTAACATTGATTGTCTGACTTTAATTTAGATTAAAATATAATTTAAATCAATAATAAAGAGGGACCTAAATTTACCTAAAAACTTGAAGTAGTTTAAAAGATAACACATCGATTTATTTAAATAAAGTCTTTTAACAAAGTTGAATATTTTGTACAGTCCAAAAATAATTTGACTTCTTATTAGTTTATTGAATTATTTAAAGCCATAAATAGTACTGGACGAGGTTCATTTAAATATTACAAAATTAGTAACAATATTAATAGATGAGGGACCCCTAAAAAAATAAATTAATTGACTCAATAATTGCGTTATTTCCAATCTTTGTACACACAAGTTGTGTAAGCTTCTATCCCTATCCCAATAATTAACATGAATGGACACTTTGATTTTTTTTTTTAAGATAATGTTAAAAATAAAAACTAAAAAAATGTAATGCTATTTATTGTTAGCGACAAGTGTAATTGAGGCATTAGTATGTTATTTGAAGTGAATTATTATGAAAATTAATGCTTCAAATAATAAAGTATCATAACTATCGTCTAACTATGAATAATATTATTCAAAAGAAATATCCCTCGTTTGGTAGCAATTTTAAATTTTAAAAATTAATTTTTTTAAACAGTATTTCATTATTTCAGCCGTCGTTTTTTATTTTATCACTCATAAGTGGGATTCATTTTTCTCTCTAACGATTAAAAAATAATTCTCATAATCACTATCGGACAGATCGATACATTGAGTGAACAATTATAATTTAATAGAGAATTATCATAGATAACTACGAATAAGATTGTGGTCTTAAATTTAATTATAATTGATATTATTATTCTTTACTCACAAGGTAAGGAAAGGTGCACTTGTTTTGTCTAGAAGCAGCAGAAAGTGGTAGATATAAAAGTAGAGAAATATTTTGTCCCTTCTTACGTCATTCAATTCTACCTTTTTGCATTAAAGACAAATTAACAGCTCAACCATTTTATTATTTTATTTTTTTTATTATTTTTGGTTTTGTTTTTCTTATATTTTTTTCTTCTAGATTTTGATTCAAATTTTGACTTATATTTTAAGGGAATGTTTGGCCATATGATCTATTTACGAGAATATAACAATATCTCTGCTACATAATTATTTAAGCTATCAAAATACAATACAAATCTAAATTAACTATTATTTATCGTCGGTTTTGGTAATTAGATAGATGATACTAATTATATATTCATTTAAAAGCAAGCAAATATGATGCCTCTGTTTGGGCCTCATTATTTCAAATTATAATTGGTGGAATAGTATTTTTTGGAAAATGAATGGTTGAGAAAAATGAAAAATTTTCGATTTAAGCGTAATATTATTTTATGAAAAATTGTATGATTGAAAATAGGAGAGAAAAAAACGAAATTTTATTTAATGGAGCCAAACGGGGGCTATAATTAAAGGTTAAACCCTAACCTTAAGGGTTCCCCACCACCCCTGCCCTGGAATATCGTGAGGGAGGTAAATCGCAGGTTATACCTCCAAGGGTACAGGGTGGAAAACTATAATTGAATCTATTCTGCGTCGTAACATAAATTGAAGTTAAAGTATTGATAAAATTTAGGCCCCTTTTTGGTACAAATTAAAATCAAATTTTTAGTAGATTTTGATAAAAATTGATGAAATATATGGTTGAAAAGTTATGGATTCCATAAAATATATAGTTAAAATTAGTTATTAATTTTGATTTAAATTAAAATTCGAATTTCAATTCGGGGCTAGATTACATTATTCATCGCAAATAATTCCTTTTCTTATTTGGTCAAATGACAATTGGACCAAAAATTTAATGGAGCATTTAAATAGCCTTGTGATTGGGCAACGTGGAGCCACCTTCAATGTGCTTGAACTTCAGTCATATTGGTCGGCTGGTTCCATTTCACATTTTAATTCAAAGCTTATCCAAAATTTTCTTGAATACCTACTCACCATTGACAACGTAAAACTTATCAGACGGGATTATTTGACAAAAAAATGATAAAAAACGATGAAATAAGTGGTTGATAAGGTTATAAAAGTTGCGGGTATCGTAAAATGTAATTAGAACTAAAATTTGATCAGTCGAGAAATTGATCAAAATTTATCAAACAAGCAATAAAAATATAATCAAACATATAGTGATATGAAAATCTATAAATAAATCTATCTACTTGAAAAGAATAATGTTATTTAACTCTACTAGAGTTACAATCTCAATTTAGGTAACGTTAACGTAACATTAAATAATATATAGAATTAAATAAGTAATTGAATTTCATATTCCCAAAAATTTAATGGAGCATTTAAATAGCCTTGTGATTGGGCAACGTGGAGCCACCTTCAATGTGCTTGAACTTCAGTCATATTGGTCGGCTGGTTCCATTTCACATTTTAATTCAAAGCTTATCCAAAATTTTCTTGAATACCTACTCACCATTGACAACGTAAAACTTATCAGACGGGATTATTTGACAAAAAAATGATAAAAAACGATGAAATAAGTGGTTGATAAGGTTATAAAAGTTGCGGGTATCGTAAAATGTAATTAGAACTAAAAGTTGATTAGTCGAAAAATTGATCAAACTTTATCAAACAAGTATTAAAAGTATAATCAAACATATAGTGATATGAAAATCTATAAATAAATCTATCTACTTGAAAATAGTAATGTTATTTAACTCTACTGGAGTTACAATCTCAATTTAGATGACGTTAACGTAACATTAAATAATATGTAGAATTAAATAAGTAATTGAATTTCATATTCATTCAGCCTATCATTCAACGCTATCTAAACTGGAGTTATAACGCGGTGATGTGATCCGGGTGAATTTTCAGATTTTGGCAAGTTTCCTAGTTTAGTCAGAATTCCATATTTTTGCATCTTTTAGCATATTTACGAGTCTAATTCCATTTTTATCATTCTTTCCTAGATTTAGTATAAATACTTATTTGCTTTCATTGTATTAGACAGAATGGCTTATTGAATAAAAATTGTGACTTTTTCTCTCTCGAAACTTTTGATTAAAAAATATCATTTTTCGTTGAACAATTTGTGAACTTATCAAGATTAATCTTGTAGCGTTCAAATCAATCGGAAGAGATTCATTTAAATTGCGTAATCAAGAGGTCCGCATATTGTCGACAATTCGGGTTGCTTGATTCCAGTTTATTGGATTTAATCCAAAATATTGTCTTTGGCTTTTTTGGATTTGATTCTCAATTTGCTGTGAGTTTGATAGTGATCGCGCTACGCGGGTTCGCATCACGCGGGCTACATAGCTTTATTCACTTGAAAATGAGAGAGCAAGTATTAAGTCAAGATTTGGGTGAATAAAGACAAGCACGTAACTGTAAAGTAATAGTCTAAGTTAAAGGATTCTTTTGATTTTTATTGCTCCCATCCACAAAATTCTTCCATCTCTTTTTCATACGCAATAAAATTATCAAGAGTAGGGCCCACCTAGTTGCCTACACTTTCGGAAAGAATTAGATTGTCTTACAAGGAATCTTGAATTATCCAACTTAATTTTTTTTTTTTATATCTACGTATCCCAACTTACACTAAACTCAATTCTGCGTACAAAAGACCCTCCTCCACAGTAATTACTCCATGCCAAATATTTGACCGCAGGTTCCTACCAAGAATTGAATTCTCCACCCTGCCGCTGGAAGCAAAACAATGTTGATTGATCCACCAGTTGAGCTGTGCCCTTGGGACTATCCAACTTATTTTCACATACATGATAAGACGTTCTTTCTCATCTAAAGGGAAGATTCTATATGATAAGTATTTCTAAAGCAGAAATTTTTTCCTTCTGAACACTACCACAAAAAAGTAAATAATTAAAAGAAAAAAAACAAAAAATATTGAATTGAAAAATTTGCTAGAGTATACAAAAAAATAATGTTATTTGCA